CTCAATTAAAAAAAAAAAAAAAAAAAAAAAGGAGAGCTTTTGCAGCAAATGGTAGAAGAGATGACTAAGAAGGAGCCACGTACCTCAGCAGGGCATACGGTAGCCCCAAAGAGTAGGAACAACATTAGAAATGTGGTGTGGACTTAAGCCCCGGGGTGAGAGACTCTTTTCATCCCTGCCCCACTACGGTCCCTTTCCCCACCGTTCTGTGCCTTGTCTTCACTTAGGTGGCCAGGCTGGAGCGGAACTTTTACCTCACTAAACGCGAGCTAGAAAGGATCCAGAATGAGTTGGCAGCGATCCAGAGGGAACTGGAAGCCCTGGGGGCCAAATACGAGGCGGCCATTCTGGAAAAGCAAATGCTGCAGGAAGAAGCCGAAATCATGGAGAGGCGGCTGATCGCTGCGGACAAGCTCATCTCAGGCCTGGGGTCTGAGAATATCAGGTCAGCGGCTGAGGAACCCCTCTGATGAGAGGTCCGAGCGAGACTCCGTGTTCTGTCAGTGAACGTCAGCAACCGAATTTCTTACCATGTCGTCTTTCCGCCACGCCGCGTTTTTATCTGGAAACCGCGTGGGAAAGTTCTGATTTCGCTATTATCGTGTTTAGGGTGGCTAAGGCCATTTTACACATTCTTGCGGTTTATTAATTATTAAGGGTGAAGGAGGCAGTGCAGCTGTGGGGACAGGGAGGCACCAGGGGCCTCTGGCAAGGTGCTGTGTGTTCTGGAAATGTTTACTTCCTAGTGACCTTTAACCCTGAGCGCGTCCTGGGTGGGTCTGGAGGAGGGGTCCGCCTCTGTTGCTGGACAGATGTCTTCTAGGGTCTCTTCCGTCTGGCTCAGTCCTGAGCTTCAGTTTTAAGCAAGTAGGGCTGTCCAATGCCTAGGGGCAAGGCCGTTTGGCCATAGCTGGTCCACTGGGTATGAGAGAAGTTTCTAATCTGGCGCCTATAAAAGTGATATGGAAAACACTAGAAAATACTGTTTGCTCATGGGAAACAAACCATTTTCAGTATTTCTAAAACCTAGAAGACTTGGGCCGCTTAGCGGAAGGGGCCAAATAAAACATCTACTCCATTTTATCTTCGGTAGAAGGTAGAATTTTGTCACCAAGCAGCACCAGAGCTCCTGAGTTCTGCTGGGCATGTCTGCAAGTTGCTGATTAAAGCATTCAGAAACAATGTGATTACTACTTAATAAATAGCTTTGAGACTAGATGCTTCACATTTCTCCAGCCCTGTAGATGCTGGGTTCTACTGAGCCCTGCAATTGAACAAGGTCTTCCAAAACACTGGGCTCGTTAGGGTGGGAAGTTGCAAAATGACCTGGCAATCTTTGTTTCTAAAAGAAGGGACTATCTCCAACGAAGTTTCCTTCTGGCTAGCCCCATTAGCAGTGTGTCAGGGTGGTTCTTCTAGAATGTTCCTTTTGATTGTGCCAGAAGATAACGGCTTACTGCAGCCCCCGTCTCCTGCACCAGGTGGCTGAACGACCTGGATGAGCTGATGCACCGGCGGGTGAAGCTGCTGGGGGACTGCCTGCTTTGCGCAGCTTTCCTGAGCTATGAGGGCGCATTCACGTGGGAGTTCCGTGACCAGATGGTCAACCAAGTTTGGCAGAATGATCTCCTGGAGCGGGAGATTCCCCTGAGCCAGCCTTTCCGGTTAGAAAACCTGCTCACAGATGATGTTGAGATCAGCAGGTGTGTGCGACCCTGAGCCCAGAGGATGAGGGGGCCTTGTGGGGGGCGGGGGGGTATGGTGCGTGGTCCACGTGGGCATCACCCTGGCAGGGGACAGCGAGGGGTGCAGCCGACCTGATTGCACAGAAATGGCAGGTTGAGCTGCAAATCCAGCTTCCCCGACCCTGAGGAGTGTTGAGCAGCTTGGGGGTTGGTAGATTGTTCTGGAAGGCCAATCCTACCACTCTTAGCACTCAGTCACAACTTGACAAGAAAAACAGACTTCCCTGTCACTGTCCCTTCCAGGTGGGGATCCCAGGGACTGCCCCCCGATGAGCTCTCGGTTCAGAATGGCATCCTTACCACCCGGGCCAGCCGCTTCCCCCTCTGCATCGACCCCCAGCAGCAGGCCCTCAACTGGATAAAGAGAAAAGAGGAGAAAAATAACCTGCGGGTATGGCCCGCTCCTCCCTGGGTGTCCTCTGCCCTCACTCACTGCCTGCTCTCGGGGCACAGCCTGTCTCTCCCACCGTCTTTACCTGGCAGTCCTGGGCCCCTGGCAATGCCCTGCTGAAAATGTCCTGTCCGCCCCTGGGCGGAGCCCTCCCCCTCCCTGCGTGCCCACCCTGTTGAGTCCTTGAGGGCAGCATGACCTGCCCTGGGCTTTGCTTTCTGACCTTTGTGTTGCTTCTCAGCTGTGAGCGGCTTGAAGCTGGACATCGTGCTTCCCTTATCTTTGTGTCCCCCTACCTGCACAGTGCTTGGTGGCCTGAGATGCTCAGTCATTTTTTTCTTTTGGAATGGAGGAAAGATATCTCAATATCTTCTGGTTGAGATGTAATTCACATACTGTAAAATCCACCCATTTAAAGCATACAACTAAATGGTTTTTAGTGTATTATATGCAGAGTTGTATAACAATCACCAGAATCAGGCTTTACCACCCCAAAAAGCAATGCTGTGTGCTTTAGCCGTCGCCGCCCCCCCAACCATCCTTCCATTTCCCCCCTCCCTGTCTCCTAGCAACCACTAATGTATTTTATAGATTCGCCGCCTCTGGACATTTCACATAAATGGAATCATGCACTATGTGGCCTTTGTGTCTGGCTCCTCTCACTCGGCATCTTGTTTGCAAGGCTCACCCGGGTTGTAGCAGGTGTCCGTGCTTCCTTCCTCTTTGTAGCTGAATCATAGTCCATTGTGGGGATGGATCACATTCTACCATCCATTTATCCATTGATGGGCATTCGGATGATTTCTACTTTTTGGCTATTATGAATAATGCTGCTGTGAACATTCACATGCACTTTTTTTTTTTTTTTTTGGTGGGCATACGTGTTCAATTTCCCTGGGTGAAATTGCTGGGGCCCAATCACTTTTTGCTGAACTAGTTCACAAACTCATGATTCTCAGTTCTGCTTTTTCCTTTTTTTTTTTTCGAATCCTTGCTCCCAAGTATGTACCTGCTGTTGGGGGGCAGGGTCTGCCTCTAAAATATACATAGACAGTGAGACAAATGTTATTAATGCGGAGATGGTCCCCCCCTCCCCCCCCGCCTGCCAGGGGCCTGAGATGGCCCATCCTGCAAGTCGTAATGAGACTCTGTCATGATTACTTCGGGCCGCTCAGAGCCTGAACCTAATAGGTTTCTGGCTTCCATGGGTCTCATGCTTTGCTTCTCTCCCTCATTCTTTCTCCCCTTTGGCTCCCTCTGAGGCTCCGGCATGCCCACTCCCTGTGCCGGAAGCGCTCTCCTCATATGTTTGCTGAGCGCACAGCACCCCTGTCTTCCAGGTGGCTTCCTTTAATGACCCTGACTTCCTGAAGCAGCTGGAGATGTCCATAAAGTATGGGACTCCTTTCCTGTTCCATGACGTGGATGAGTACATTGATCCTGTGATTGATAACGTCTTAGAGAAAAATATCAAAGTCGTCCAAGGACGGCAGTTCATCATACTGGGAGATAAGGAAGTGGATTACGATTCAAATTTCAGACTGTACCTAAACACCAAGCTGGCCAATCCCAGATACACCCCGTCTGTGTTTGGGAAGGCCATGGTCATCAACTACACGGGTGAGGATCTACACAAGCTCAGTGGCAAATTGGGGTGGTTACCACAGAGACCACAATGGGAGTTCAGGGCTTTCATGGGGTGCCCGCTGACCCCAGGTCATGCTCTCGGGGTCACATCTTCATCGGTCGGTTCTTCTTGATGAAGGTTGGGCGCCCCCTTGGGAGGCAGGGAGATGCGTGTCTGGGGAATGCTGAGTCTGGACCATAGGGCTCAGATACCCACACTCGGAGTGGGGTGAGACCCCCATTCTGCTGGGGCAGGAAGTTATTCTGTGTTGGTGATTTAAATATGTGGCAGGATTTTGCATTCCCCCCCCCCCTTCCTCCCAACTGAATTCTGTTAGGAGCTGAGTGCCATTTCTCACATTTTCTAGGGTTGTCCTCCAGCTGTGCTTTCAACTCGGGCTCCCCGATCTGTGGGAGCCTCTGCACTCTTGTCGCTCACCACTCTGTGGAGGAGCATCTCCATGTTGTTCTGACCGGTGGCTTTAGAGTAATGGCAGGAGCGAGTCCTCAAGTTCCCGAAATGCTGGCTCAGATGCACCCTCCGCTTGCCCGCGCCAGGCACAAGCGTGCAGCAGGTGAGGAGACGCGGGGTGCCCAGCGGTGACAGCCTCCCCTTGCTCCCACAGTCACACTGAAAGGCCTCGAGGACCAGCTGCTGAGCGTGCTAGTGGCCTCCGAGAGGCGAGAGCTGGAGGAGCAGCGGGAGCACCTAATCCAGGAGACGAGTGAGAACAAGAACCTGCTGAAGGATTTGGAAGACTCCCTCCTTCGGGAACTGGCGACCTCCACGGGGAACATGCTGGACAACGTGGAGCTGGTGCAGACCCTGGAGGAGACCAAATCCAAGGCCACGGAGGTATCAACTGCATGGAAAGTGCATTGCACTGGGAGGGGGCGGGGTGGTTCCTTTGGAGCACGAGTTCCCTTATCTGCTCAAGGAGAAGATTGGACTCGGGGATCTCAGGGCCTCATTCCTGCATCTTAGAAGCTGAGGTGTTGGCGGGGGTGGGGGTGGGGACAGCCACCTCTGCTGGCATCAGATTTGGGCTCTTAGTCACCTGAGGGTTTGCCTGATGAGAACAGGCCACCTCTATTGGGGTGTGCTATGGGGAGGGGAGCCCTAGAGGTGTTCCCAGGGACCCTTGTGCATCAGGTCGGCCTCTTTGAGTTAAGAGTGATAGAAAACCCAGCTCTACTTGGCTTAAGTCAAAAGGGAAATTATTAGCTTAGAATACAGAAAGTCCAGGGATGGCTTCAGGCAGGGCTGGATTCAGGACTCTAAGCATATCACCAGGACTCAGTTTCTCTCCATTTCTGGGCTGGGCCTTTTGTTGGGGTGGCTTCATTCTCTGCCTCCCCATGAGTCAAGTTCCCCTCATGGTCACCAGGTGGGTATGTCCTCATGCCCCCTCAGGTTCAGGTCCAAAGGGAAGAGTGAGAATTGTTACCTGTCCCTATCATGAAGGTCCCGAGAGTCATTTCAGCCAGATGTCCACCCCAAGCCGATCCCATGGCCGGGGATGCTGTGTATAGACTGGCTGGGCCTGGGTCACACGCTCCTCTCCTGGGGTTGGGGTGGACCCCACATATGGGAAGAGAGGGGGGAAGTTGGAGTGTCTAAGTTGAAGTCAGGGACTGTTATTAGAAGGACGGGGCACAGGTGCTGGGGACTCTGGCCAACAAACATCTGGCAAGAGGGTAGGTGCTCTGCAAACCCCAGCAAGCGCTGCACAGACTTCTTTGCTGCTCCCTCCCACTCTTGCTCTCTGTATTTCTTACTTTCTTGCCCATTTCCTAAGTCATCCTGGTGATGGTGTCAGTCTCCCCGTTTCCACGGTGACACACACCTTCTCTTTAGGTATCAGAGAAGCTCAAACTGGCGGAGAAGACAGCCCTGGACATCGACAGGCTGCGGGATGGCTACCGGCCGGCCGCCAGGAGGGGAGCCATCCTGTTCTTCGTGCTGTCCGAGATGGCCCTGGTCAATGCCATGTACCAATACTCCCTCATCGCCTTCCTGGAGGTCTTTGGCTTGTCACTTAAGAAGTCCCTGCCTGATTGCATTCTCATGAAGCGATTACGGAACATTATGGACACGCTGACCTTTAACATCTATAACTATGGTTGCACGGGTGAGCACCCCTCTGCTCTGTGTGCGTGCAACTCTGGCGTCTGTCTGTGTGTCCAGATCTCTCCTGTGGAGGACGTGAGGCAGAGGGGTCAGGGCCCACCCTAACAGCCTCGGTTTACCTTCGTTCCCTCTTTAAAGGCCCCCACTCCCAACACAGTCACTTTCGGAGGCACTGGGGGTCAGAGCTTCAACATATGGATTTGGGGGGGACACAATTCAGCCCATTCCAGCTGGGCAGGAAAAAGGTTGAGGACTGTTGTCCCTACAGGGCTCGCTTACTTCTTGCAGCGCACAGAAGCTAGAATTCAAGTCACAGATGTTGACTTACAGTTTTTCCCCCAAGAACACATTTCTTATGTTGTTGTTGTTGTTTTTTATTTTAAAGAAGAAGAACTTTAGTATTCAGCATCCCCCATCACTAACAAATCTGTTGGTGGAATGTGCTTGCTCTGCAGTGGAGGTTGGCAAACCGTGACCAGCAGGCCAGGTCTGGCCCCCTGCCTGCTTGTGTAAATAATGTGCTGTTGGAACCCGGCAGGGCCATTTGTCTATAGTCGTCTGTGGTTGCTTCCCCGCTGCAGCGGTGGATGAATAATTATGGAGACAGCCTGTAACGTCGGAAATATTTCCTATCTAGCCTTTTACAGGGAGCTTGCTAATGCCTCTCCTAGATGACGCCAGACAAGAGCTCGCACTTAGGGTTAGGCAAACGACCCGTGTTCCATCGAGAAGGTGGCTCTGGCCTTCTATCGCGCGGTCCTCCAGCTGCCTTTGGACCCCGCTCTGCTCTCCCAGGCAGGTGCGGTGGGTGCGGCAGGCAGGGCCGCTGCGGACGTGCACGAGTGAGCGGGACTGCAGGCTGGCTCGTGGGCTCCCTGTGCAGACTGGGCCCGCGCTGTGTGGGCTCAGCCGCGGACATCCAGGGGTGGAGGGGTGGGGGTGCTGGGCGCCACCGAGATGTCCGGCCGTTCAGTTCATTTCTCTTACGTTTAAGCTTGTTGTGTGTAGGAAACTCCACTTTGAAAGCAAATTTACCTCATCAGTGCCCGTCTGATGTTTCCCTCCAGGGTTGTTTGAGAGACACAAGTTACTCTTCTCTTTCAATATGACGATCAAGATAGAACAAGCAGAAGGCAGAGTCCCCCAGGAAGAATTAGATTTCTTCTTAAAAGGTGATGAACGTGCCTCCTTTCATTCTTCCCCACTTCCTTGACCCCCCCGCCTCCCCGTTGCACACACATGGAGGTTCGTTAAAACAAACCAGAGTATTACCAAACTTCTCCTTAGAACTTGGCTTCCAGCAGCACAATTTAAAAAAAAAAAATTAATTTATTTGAGAGAGAGAGAGAGAGAAAGAGCGAGCACAAGCAGGGGGAGCCACAGAGGGAGAGGGAGAAGCAGGCTCCCCGCTGAGCAGGGAGCCCAATGCAGGGCTTGGTCCCAGGACCCTGGGATCACGACCTGAGCTGAAGGCAGACGCTTAACCGACTGAGCCCCCCACCCCGCCCCCACCGCCCCGGGCACCGTCCAACAGCACTGCTTTACTAAATATTTCAGTTGACAATTGCAGCCTCAGAAGTGGTTCTGGTCTGGCCCAGAGCAGCGGGGTCTCTGCCCACAGGCTGCCCTGAGGCCGGAAGCCACGCTGAGCTGCCTGGGTGGGGTCCCCAACAGTGACAAGGTGAGCCTACGTGTCCTTCTCCGTCCATTCCCTCTGGAGACGCGGGTCTCTCCTCGGAGTGGGAGAAGTCGAAGGCCCGAACTACTCACTCCTCCCTGCACGTTGCTGCTGGCTGTTTACTTTCCATCTTCTGTTGTGATTAGGAAACATTTCCCTGGAGAAGAGCCAACGAAAAAAGCCCTGTGCATGGTTGTCTGACCAGGGCTGGGAAGATATCATGCTTTTATCCGAAATGTTCTCAGACAACTTTGGGAATCTTCCTGATGATGTGGAGAAACACGTGGCGGTCTGGCAGGAGGTGAGACCATGTTCTCTGTCCCCTCCTTCCCTTCCCTCCATGTCGGTGGGCTTGAGATTTCAACCGTAGCCTTACTCCTCGTGGCCCGTTCAGAGTGGAGTCAGCTCCCTCCAACACCCTTGATGGAATTCTCCTTTATGTGGTTCAGCTGGTGTGTGGGAGAACCGTCCATCTGTCTGTCCATCCGTCCATCCGTCCATCCACCCATCCGAGAAATGGGCACTTGCCATGGGACTCAACAGTGAAAAAGACTCAGCCCCTCCCTTCCTGAAGTTCGTCGTTTTTTGGGGGGCGGGGGAGGTAGAAAATGACACATCTGACTAGAAGTGACCTGGAGGTTCATACTCGTGTAGGTTTCATTCCTTTATAAAGCGACTTTTGGGAGCTTCGTATAAAAATGGGGGCCTATATCGTTCCCAAGTTGATGCCACCATGAATGTTCTTTTCCTAGTGGTATGACCTGGACTCACTCGAGCAGTTTCCATTTCCCTTGGGTTACGATAACAACATCACCCCTTTCCAGAAGTTGCTTATTTTGCGCTGTTTCCGTGTGGATCGGGTGTATCGGGCAGTGACCGACTACGTGACTGAAACAATGGGAGAGAAGTAAGTGTGTTACGGAGTTTGCTTGGCCCTTCTGTGGGCTCGTCCCCGCCCGCCCGCACCCCGGACTCGCAGACAGCGGTGGCCGCCCAACTTTGGCAGTGTTAGTCACTCTAGTTCCGTGCTATTCGGGAGAGGTTCAGTGGGAGTCACATGTGTCAAGTTTTCTAGTAGTCGCGCTCAGGAAGAAATGGATGAAGTTAATTTTAATTACATTTTATTTAACTCAGCACATTAAAATATCATTTCAACATGTAGTCAATGCAAACATTATGGAAATATTTATTTATTTAGTATTAAGTCTTCAAAGTCCCGTGTGATTCAGCCTTACCGCACAGCTCGGTTTGGACTGGCCACACCCGCAGTGCTCAGTGGCCACACGCGCCGAATGCCTTCCGTATTGGACAGCACGGCTCTGAAACTGAAGACAGGCAGATAACTTGGGCTTGCAAACTCAAACTCAGACGGCAATGAGTGAGCGGGGCTGGCTGGGGACGGCGGCACATGGGAGAGGTCAAGCCTGGTCCACAGGGGCAGTTGCCCCTTAGCTCCCGCTGACTGATACCAGCTGGCAGGGGCCCCCCCCTCCCAGTGGCTGGATCCCCCGACTCTTAGAAAGAAGTTACAAATTTGGATTTCTGGGTCAAATCGCCCAAGCCTGATGTGTCGGTAACTAATTTTCAAAAATCTTGAGAAGTGGGCTATTCAGGACATACCTGTGGAGTTGTTGGCGTGAGGCCTCTGGGTTGTGTGTCGTGGGGACGTCTGCCTGGAAGGGCCCCTGTCGGGAGGCGCCCCCATGAATGTGCTGGGGTGCGCTAGGGGGACGCAGTGGGGCCCCTGTCACCTAGGAGTTCACCCTCCTGTGTGTGATGTGTGTGTAGACATTGGACTCTAACCTGTGCAGACTTATACCAGAGGAACAGCCAGAAGGTTCCGGACGGGGTGAGGTGAGCGCGCTGTGGCTGTCCTCCACAAGAGACCCTGCTTTGTTTCCTTCACTAGGTACGTGCAGCCCCCCATGATCAGCTTCGAGGCCATCTTTGAGCAGAGCACTCCAAACTCGCCCATTGTGTTCATCCTCAGTCCCGGCTCTGACCCTGCCAGCGACCTTATGAAATTAGCCGAGCGCAGTGGTTTTGGAGGAAACCGCCTCAAATTCCTCGCCATGGGTCAAGGCCAAGAAAAGGTAATTTGTTGTTGGAAGGAACGAACTCTAAATTTAGGTGAGGTCCCTGCCTCTGTTAACAGTTGGTTAATATCTGGTTTTGAGGGTGCCGCTCCACGCGGGAGCTGGGTGCATTTCCGGTTCTCTGGGCAGTGGCGCTCTGGTGCCCGGTGCCCGGATGATGCATGACAGCCGTATGGTCCCACAGCGGGCATGCTGTCACGCAGACCCTGCCGGGCCGCTGTGCCCTGTTGTTGCCAACGTCTGTTCACACGTAGTCGTCATCTCCTCCTGTCCGGTGACGTCCCCGTCTCAGATCGGGGCTGTCACTGCCCCCAGGGCATGGCCACGGACGTAGTCAGGGCGCCGGTGCGACTGTCCCAGAGAACCTGGAGCTCCCGGGGCCGAGGGAGGCCGGTGGGTGGAAGGTGCTGGCTCATCTTCCAGGCCCTGAGGGGATTCTGATAGTTCTTGGAAGGCACCTCTGGAGCTCCTGGGTCCCTAGGGGGCTCCGGCTGGGGTGGGCTGTTCATTTCCGGGGGGTGTGCAGTGGGTGTCTGGGAGAGTGTGGGGCCAGCATGGCTTTGGGACGCTGACCCCCCTCCCCCCTCCCCCCGCCCCATCTCCTGGTGCAGGTAGCGCTGCAGCTGCTGGAGACAGCAGTGGCCCGCGGGCAGTGGCTGATGCTGCAGAACTGCCATCTCCTGGTCCAGTGGCTGAAAGATCTGGAGAAGTCCCTGGAGAGGATCAGCAAGCCGCACCCGGACTTCCGCCTGTGGCTCACCACAGACCCCACCAAGGGCTTCCCCATTGGGATTCTGCAGAAGTCCTTGAAGGTCTGGCTTCTGACAGACACCCCGGCCTCCCAGCCCCGTGTGTGCATGCATGTGTGTTTGGAAATCTAGGACGCAGCCGGACCCTCACACCCACCCTTCCCACGTCCATCTCTTCCTCTCTCTTCAGAGATAAGCACTGTCCTGTATTGGGTGATGATTTTCGGGGGGGGGGGGGGACAGTTAACGCCTCTCAGGCCTGTCTCTACCACTTCCACACGTATCCAAAACACTATCTAGGTTCGTTTTCCTGTACTTCACATTTATCAAACCTTCTGCCCATATCTGCAGTGCTCTAGCGGATTATATGCCCCGCTTAACTTACTCTCCAGAGAAGTTGTGTTTGGAAAGGTTTTGTCATCTGGGGCAGGTTGAGGGAAAACTTAACTACTTTCCATGGTCCAGAGAAGCTAAAGCACCTTCCTTGGGTCATTTGATGAACAGGAGCCAGAACAGTATCTTGTTCCCTAACTTCTTTGCCGGGCCTTTCACAAGAGACGTTTGCTGTGTGGGGGATGGGAAAGGTGGCCGCACAGAGAGGAAGGGAAAGCCGAGATGTCTACATTTTGCACCCTCTTCAAAGCTGGACTCATGGGTCTGTGGTTTCGGTCACGATTTGTCTTCTGACAGGTTGTTACAGAGCCCCCCAATGGGCTGAAACTCAACATGAGAGCAACGTACTTCAAGATCTCTCAAGACACACTGGAGCAGTGTCCGCACCCGGCCTTCAAGTCCCTGGTCTATGTGCTGGCGTTCTTCCACGCGGTGGTGCAGGAGAGGAGAAAGTTCGGGAAGATCGGGTGGAACGTGTACTATGACTTCAATGAGTCTGACTTCCAGGTGAAGATGCAGTGGCTGCTGGTCCCCCTCACCCGGCTCATCTCCCCCGACCCTTTCTCCAAGTTCACGACCACCCGGCTGCTCCCGCCCACACTTCAGGAAAGGGTCAGCACGGGAGTGACTTCGTAGGTTGGAGGATAACCACGCCAGTCCCTCCTCTTTTAAGGTCTGCATGGAGATTCTGAACACGTACCTAACAAAAGCCTTCCAGCAACATGACCCTAGGATCCCGTGGGGCAGCCTCAAGTACCTCATTGGAGAGGTAGGAGCATCTTGGGGGACCCTTCATGGGCTGCCTCCTGGGGCTGGAGATGGGCTGTGGCCTGGCGCCCCGTGCGTGACCTCTAAGCCCTTGGTGACTCCCCTCTTGCTTCTGCCACCCGTCAGCTGAAGGCCTGAGGTCTCTGAGGAATTCTGTTGGCTCATCACCTGGGTGTCTTTCTCCTAAGTGGGCTCCATCCCCATGGACGCTCTGGATTCATCACTGTGGGGGCTGTGTTCTCTAGGGGTGGGCATGGCCTCGGGCCTGTCATTGTAATCTTCCAGCGGGCACGGAGGGCCACTCTGGAGACCATTATACAGCCCCCACCCCCATGCCCTGCAGGTGGCACACACAGGGACATCACCAATTCCAAAGACCAAAGTGGCAGCTGGCTTTTTTGGTGGTTTTGTGGTCTGTTCACTAGGTTTTGGGGATTTTGCAAATGGCATACGGGCTCCCCGCTCTTCATGAGGGCACCTCTTGTTCACAGTGGGTCACAAGGCATGCCATCGACATGGTTTGAGCTGCACAGTGGCCAGGCCAGCAGGAGCATCCCCAAGGGCACGTCTGGTCTCAGGGGTCCCTTGGTGGGTCCTGCGCTCCCAGCCAGTTCTTGCTTCCTGTACCTCAGGTCATGTACGGAGGACGGGCCATCGACAGCTTCGATCGGCGCATCCTGACCATCTACATGGATGAGTACCTGGGAGACTTCGTTTTTGACACTTTCCAGCCATTCCACTTCTTCCGGAATAAGGAAGTGGACTATAAAATCCCCGTTGGTGATGTAAAGGAAAAATTCGTTGGTGAGATTTCTCAGGCATCAAAACGTATGTTAAAATTGTTTTCTAAGGGAGATCCACCATACATTTCAGCTGTTCTGTTTTCTATGGTTGGCTTGATGGCTCTTCTGACCTCTCTGCTGGTGGGGATCCTTGGCTGGTGGGCGTGCTCCATGGTGTTTTTATAGGGGGCCCAGCACGTTCTTTATAGCCTCAGCATTGATGGAATTAGTTCAGATTTCCTGTCCTAGAATGATGACAAGTATGTCAGATTCTGCCTGGAAGGGAAGCCCACTGAGCCATTTTCATAAATGATAAACATACAGCTGTATTAGGGTGTGGTGGTATAGAATTTTTATTCAAAAACGTGTCACCCCTTAAGCAGTGGAAATTAGTCTTGCCTATCTGGGGATGTCGAGGCGGTGGGCCCTCAGAAATTGCGGGTGGTGTGACAGTGTATTCCCTGTTCTGATTATAGAAGCCATCGAGGCCCTCCCACTGGCCAACACACCCGAAGTGTTTGGTCTTCATTCCAATGCTGAGATTGGATATTACACTCAGGCGGCTCGGGACATGTGGGCCCACTTGCTGGAGCTGCAGCCTCAGACAGGTGAAGTCTGTGGAGGACGGAATTGGTTTGGTTAGGGTGGAAGGTGTTGGCACAGGGTGCTCTTGGTTCTTGTAGGTTGTATATTGTTGATGCCTTTCCAAGAACCAGAAGGCTCAGGATGCCCCAGTCCTAACACTCAGATGCCTTGCTTTCCCTAAAAACTGTCCTGGTTTTAGGGGAATCCAGCAGTGGCATCAGCCGAGATGATTACATTGGCCACATTGCCAAGGACATAGAAAACAAGATGCCTAAAATCTTTGACTTGGACCAGATCAGGAAGCACCTTGGGGTGGGAATCTCCCCCACGTCGGTGGTGCTTCTGCAGGAGCTGGAACGCTTCAACAAGCTCGTCATACGGATGTCCAAGTCTCTGGCTGAACTTCAGAGGGTGAGCATGCTCCTAACACGCACACCACTGCCTAGACACACCACCCAGTTTTCTGATGGTCTTGCCTGACTGCTCTCGATTCTGCGAACAGGCCTTGGCGGGAGAAGTTGGCATGAGCAACGAGTTAGATGACGTAGCCAGGTCTCTTTTCCTCGGGCAAATCCCTAGTATCTGGAGAAAGCTTGCCCCGGACACGTTAAAGTCCCTTGGGAACTGGATGCTCTACTTCCTGCGACGGTTCAGCCAGTACACGTTGTGGGTAAGTAGAGGCAACGGTCTTTTCGTTGGTTCGAGGTTCAGCCCGGACTGACCCTGCCCCCAACCACCTCCAACTCCCAACCCCTCTCTAACTCCGCAGTAGTACCTTCCGTTTGCAGTTGACTGGGTGTTCTAGAAATGGTCTCTGACTCTACAGGCATACCTGTATTGTTTTTTCCTTTTTGTTTCGTTTTCAAGACTTTGAAGCCTATTATGCACAATCTGATTTATTCATCTCAGAGTCCATCTTGGCCATTGTTCCTCTTAAGTATATTTGGATCTAACTTACTCTTTTAATGGGGCTCTGTTTTACAGATGTTCCATGTCCTTTCCCCTCATGGACATTTAGGTGGTTCCATTTGGGTTTTTTCTCTTTTTAGCTAGGAGGGACAATGCTCTGGCGCCCATGTCTTTAGTTACGCACATGAGTATATTTCACAGGCAAATCCCTACAGTGGCAGAGTTGGGTCCCAGGGTGTGCATCTCACATTCTGACAGCTCTTGTCAGACAGTCTTCTAGAGAAGTGGGAACCACAGTGAACGAACACGAGTATTTCCTCCCCTCTCTGCGACACTGTGTATTCTTAATATTTTGGATCTTTGCTCCGTGATAGGTAAATAATAATATGTGTGGGTGTGCATTTCTTTAATTATGGTGAGGCTGAGCATATCTTACACACACGTAGGTATCTCATTTCTGTGAATCGTCTTTTTGTGTCTTGATTTCATTTTTATCGAGTTCTTCATCTTTTTAAAATGATCTTTTGGAGCTTTTTGTGTATCAGGGAGATTAGCCCTGTGTCTGTCAGTATTGTGTTTCCCCCAACTTGTCATAAGTCTTTTGATTTTGCTTATGGCATTTTTTTCTGTAAGAACGTCTTACAGTTTTATTTAGTCAAATGTATCAGTCTGTTCTTTTATGGCCTCTGGGTTTAGCATTCCCAACTCCAAGATCTTGACAACATCCATTGGAGATTTGATCTGGTACTTTTGTGACTTGGTTCTTTTATATCTAGATCTTCATTCCTTCTGGAATCAGGCAGTTCAGCTTGTTTTCCCCAGCATGCTTCCAGTTGTACCCACGCCCATCTTTCTGCTGCCAAGGTGAACTCTGTTTAATCGTGAACTTAACGTCTGGTTCACGCTTGGCCCTGGCATTTGATGTTGGCCCCAGGCTCCTGCCAGCTTCCCTCCTTTCCCTCCAGGTCACCGAGAGCGAGCCCAGCGTGATGTGGCTCTCGGGGCTGCACATCCCAGAGTCCTACCTCACGGCCCTGGTGCAGGCCACCTGCCGGAAGAACAACTGGCCGCTTGACCGCTCCACCTTGTTCACGCAAGTGACCAAGTTCCAAGATGCAGATGAAGTGAACGAGCGGGCAGGACAAGGTACGGTCAGCTGGCTGGGGAGTCTCCTCCCCGAGCTGTCCCCAAGGCAGAGCAACAAGCATGGTGTGGGCTGAAACAGGGCCAGGCCACGTTTGAAAGTGAGGCTGCCGCGGACAGCGGTGCTATGGTGCACTCCCCGAGTCTCGACCGGAGGGTGGCCACACGCGCTGCTCTGCCAGTTTCAGCACTGAGACCTGGGGTTGATGTCAGGCGAGACCTGAACCATGTTCACTGGGCTCCTTTGTGGGAAGTGGGCTCCTCGGTCAGAATTAGATCTTTCACAGAACTGGATCACCCGAGGGCTTCCCTGGAAACCCTGAGGGGTCAGGGGCGTGGGCGCCAGAAGGCAGTTCAGACGAGGTTGGACCCATAAATTATAACGTCAGGTCCCTTCAACACTGGTGACTGATGCTGCAGACTCTGGCTGGGAGCTGCCATTTCCTAGGGCGGGGCCCTGGAGTCGGAGGACATTTAACCGTGAGCAACAAAAGCGCTCTTGAGCCAACTTCGTCGAGACGGGCTTCATGGTAGAGGTTCAGGGATGCTCACCATCCCCGTAGCACAAGGCCAGCGAGGTCTCAGAGGAACTGGCAGGTGTCAGGGCCACCACGCTCTCTGGGTGACTGACTGTCCTCTGCTGTTGTGCACGTCTGTCGTGTCCTGTTCCCCAGACACCATTTTCTCTGCTGGGTTTGACTCCCTGCCCCCACTCCCTCTGGCTCAGGGGGGACTTGGGGTTGCCGTGGTACCGAATGACCGGTGCTTCCATCTTTATAACCCGGGGCTCCAGCGTTTTGGGCTGTGTTCCTTGAAGCAGATTGCTGGGGGAGGCGCCCACCCCTCGTCCCCTTCGCCGAGGCTATGGGGGAGGCTCATGAGATCTACAGAGTGTCCTGTCTGGGCTGTCCCTCCACAAAGGGAAGAAAGGACGGCCACCTCTCTTGGAAAAAGGCCTGGGCTGTGTCTGGGGACGGAGAGCCGGTTACCTGTTGTGCGTGCACCGCGGACATCCGGGAGAGCCGCCGGTGCATCCACAGAAATCCCCGTCTCTTCCTGGTATCTCTAGGATGTTTTGTCTCAGGACTGTATCTAGAAGGCGCTGACTGGGATGTAGAAAGAGGATGTCTTATCAAGAGCAAACCTAAGGTGCTGGTGGTCGACCTGCCGATTCTGAAGATCATCCCCATCGAAGCCCATCGCCTCAAACTGCAGGTCGGCGGAGGGGTCGCACTTGGGGTGGTTCAGACATTCTGGCCCTTTAAAACACAGGTGGTTAAACTCTGGGGGGTGGGGGAAGCCCTGAGACAGGGCAAGAGTGTGGAGCCACTTCCCGGGAAGACCCACGTGTGCACAGGTGTGTAAGCAGAGACTCCCCGAGCGGCACGGCTTCACGCGCCGAGCCGTGGTCCACTTCGGGAGAGACGCCTCCCTTCCTGTCACGTCCTGCCTCATCAAGTCCTCGCATCTGGGGTGGCAGCAGGTGCCTCCCCGCTCAGCCCGGATCCACTTTCACCCTGTCGGTGCTCGGCTGCGGAGGGTGGCCCGGCCAGGCCGGTGGGGGGCGCTGCACCATCTGCACCCACATGAGTGTCCCACGGCCTGGGCTTGAGCTCCTCTGCCCTCCGGCAGCGCACCTCACTTGCCTCTCCTTTGCAGAACACCTTCCGGACGCCGGTCTACACCACCTCCATGAGAAGGAACGCCATGGGAGTTGGCCTGGTGTTTGAAGCCGATCTCTTCACCTCAAAACACATTTCTCACTGGGTGCTGCAGGGGGTGTGCCTCACGCTGAACTCCGACTGACCGTCCGGGCCAAGAAACCCACACGCCCAGCTCCGTCCGGGGCTGGCGGCGGGAATGTGGGCAGTCGGCAACAGTGGTCACGTCTGCGGTCAGCTCTCGGGGCCTGGAGCGGCTGGGGGTGGATGGACATGGCTTCTCCTTTCATTTGAAATCAGTCAATTTAATCTCTTTCCGTAGAAATTAAGCAGATGGTTTTGGTTTTTAAACTGTTTCTAAGGATTCTGCATATTTGAAAAGTAAATACTAGAGAACATTTTAAGGTATGTCGTTTTCTTGCCCTTCTCAGAGGAGACGTGATTGGGTGGAAGTGCTGGGCTGCTGGGCGGGGTCCGGCAGAGTCCCCTTCCTGGGCCCATGCTGCCGCCCCCAGCAGAGATGGCCATGGTCCCCCACTGCCACCCCTCCCCCCTTCCAGAGCTCTCCAGTCTGCCGGGTGGGGGTGAGGACCCTGAGCTGGCGTGTCATTCCCGCATGAGCTCCTACCTGCACCCTGGCCGGGCCTGCGTGGGGCTGGGGGCAGACTTAGAATACCCCGGCCTGGCTCCTGGGCATCCCTTCCTTCCGCACACCCTGGGGCCAGGCCTGCTGGAGGGCAGGAGTGGCTTTGCTTTGCAAGGGAGGAGCCGGGTGGAGCACCAGCAGGGCAGAAGGGCAGGGGCCAGTCATGGGCACAAGTAGCTTCTGCCAGAACCTGGAAGTGCAGTCTTCTCAGGGGCGGGAGCCCCGGGAGAGAACATGGGGTGAGAATGCAGTAGTTACGGGGGGGGGGCGGTTAGCTGTTTCTCCCGCTCCCACAGTCTCCCCCCCGCCCAGCTCCTCCCTCAGGTGGTTTAATAAAAGACACAAAACAGAAAGAGGCAGGTTTAGAAAATAAAGTTTGTTGGGATCTTGAACACTTTGGATAAAACTAACAAAAAATATGAACACACGTTCAGGTTGTAGTGATATGAGAAGTAACATCATATTTCGATCCCGTGATACACATATACAGCTGCTTGGCTCTCCGTGCCGCCCTGGGAAAGGCTTGTCGGGAGGTTACAGGGTCTCCTGGAGGGGGCAGGGGCTGCTCCAGACGGGCTGCCCTGGAAACTGGAGCGAGAGGGTCAAGGTCGGTCGGCATGTATTGCTCTGGCTGTAGAATGAGGCGTGTGACTATCTGATTTCATTAACGTTGAGTAGTGATGCAGCCTGTGGCCTGTGCTTTGTCCACGAGCGCACGGAGGTTACACGGAGTGGGATCAGAAGCAAGCGATTCGGCACACAGGTGTTTGGCCACAGCGATTAGTAAATACGTATTCTGCAGCAGGGACACGATCGTATTTTGGTGTCAGTAAGAGGGCAAGAGGAGCAGGAGAAGAAGAATCTGTTGACAGGTCTGAAAAAAATTTGGCATGCATGGGATTTAAAACAAAAGCATGGATGAGTTTTTCCTAGTAGTGCTCACAGTGCATCGACAGCCGAGGGTGAAGGGCCGCCTGGGGCAGGCTTCACACAGTTCTGTCCGTCCCTGAGTGCTTCCTCACGGCCTTCCCTCCGTTCACCTGGTCAACTGCCAGTGTTTCCACCTCGGGCTGGGCCTGCGGCGGGGCGGCGTGGTGGATGCGGTGGGCCACCCCCACGTGAGCCTTGTGCGGCTTCTCGCGGGCCGGGCTGTGCTGCTCGCTCGGGCCACGGTCGGAGGTGATGGGGGGGATGACCAGAGGCCTCTCCTTGATGAGGTGGACCTCGGCGGACTCCCTGGCCAGCAGGAATGGGGTGGGGTCAGGCATGGCATCCACTGGCTCCCGCAAGAGGAGTTTCCGGCTCTCAGCCCCAAATCTGTAGACCTCTTCAAATTCGGGGTGCAGGGGGGCCGAGAGGCTCTTTTTCATCCGGCGGCGGGGTGTTTCGGGCAGCTTGTCCTTGGGGGGGGCCGGCTTGTAGCTGGCCAGCACGGGGCTCCCAGAGGGGCTGCCGTCCGAGGTCCCACTGGCGCTCATGAGCTTGCGCTTGGCGGCGTGCAGCTGGGACGTCAGGTAGGCGATGGTGCTGGCGCGCTGCTCGAGCTCGCTGGACAGCATGTTCAGCTTGTGGCTCTTCACCTTCAGCTCCTCCAGGTACTTCTTCTCCCGCTCCTTGACGGTGTTCTCCAGCACCGCGATCATGGCGTTCTTCTGCTCCAGCTCTTTGAGCAGCTCATTGTTCTCGTTCTCCTGGAGCTTCAGTTGGGCTTCCAGTTCTTCACATCTTCTCTTTAGTTCACTGCTTCTGGAAGACCCCTCTCCTAGAAGAACAAGCCGAGGGGGCGGGGTTTAGAACCCCCCGGAGCAGAGGCAGGGAGTCCTTCTGTGTCGGCTGCCCTCCCTGGGGCCTCTTGCTCCCACCCCCTGCCCTCTCCCTCACCCAGGTGTGGATCGAGTGGTCTCGGAGCGCCTTCCAGCTCTCGGTTCCCTGGCTCACTGCACAGAACGCCTCCACACTTCAAAAATGCTGAAGTCACAACGGGCAATCTCAGGCTATCAGACCCCAGCAAATAGGAATAAACTGTGAGCAGATCCCTCTGTCTGCTTGGGCCGCATGTACTAAGTGCCTGCTTCACTTGAAGCCCCGTTCTGAAAGACAACTGTAGACTTTCTCCGTGTCTAAGCACAAAACTCTGAAGCTGCAGAGGAGACAGGAGGGGAGGCTGTCACCTTCCCTGCCACAGGGTCCCCAACTCCTCCTGTCTCAAATGGCGGCTGTTCCTGGGCCTGGGGGCTCCGCCTCAGCCCCCGGCCCACCCTGTGTGTGCCCACCTCCAGCAGCTCAGGATCTCCCCCCAGCGCTGCCGGGACCTGTGCAGGGCTGGGAGCCAGCGTCCGCGGGCACCTCTCACATGGGGATGCGGGCCGAGTGGGGCCCCAAATCCAGGGCTATGGACTGTTGTTGGCTCCTGACTTTTCAGGAGCTACCGCGTCTGCCTGCCCTACCTCCCTGAAACTCGAGAGAGCTGCTCTTTGGTGACCATTGTTCCCAGGGATCAGCACCTCCTCTTTTGCCAATTTCCACTCTTCTATAGGAAGCTCTACTCTACCTCCTCCTCCACACCCACATCCTTTCTAAAGTTTCGGTCTTTCCCCATAAAATCTGCATGTGCACTCACTCAGCTGAGGCAACTGCTCTTCATCACCTACAGACAGATTTCCCCAGCTGCCTGAGTGCTCAGTCACTGCATCACTTAAAAATTTTTTTTTTAAGTAATCTCTACACCCAATGTGGGGCTCGAATTCACGACCCCGAGATCAAGAGTCACACGCTCTATGGATTGAGCCAGCCAGGTGCCTCTCACTGTGGCACTTTTTAAACAGATTCTCAGGTCTCCTCCCTGAGCCTCAGAATCAACCTTCAGGGGAGGGGGTCCAGGAGCCTGTTTCTGCGTCCCCGCCCCATGCCCCTAGATGGAGCAAGTTCTGCATCCACCAAGGTAAAGCAGTGACTTCCAGTCTTGGGGAGGGGAGATGCCCCCACCAGGGCCAGCTGAGAGCTCTCATACCACCTCCAATTATCACCTTGCGCCCCTGCCGCTGAGGAGGGTGGGTGGGTGGCCTTGGGATTTAGAGCTGAGACCCTCAAGGGGCTCTCTAGGGGCAGGGGAGGAGGGACCAGGCATATGAGTTCCTTCCTCCTGTATGCAGAGAGGGTTCAAGGGCAAGAACTAATCTTCAGGTTAGCCTGGCCAGGAGGGGGTGGGAAATGAAACACCCTGATTCCCGAGATGTGGGTGGCAGGGGTGCAGGAATCCCCGGAGGCCCCTGATCCTGGCCCAGGGCTTCGGGGGAGGAGAAGCCTGGCATCCTATCTCTTCAGTGAGGCCCCTCCTCTGCCACACAGATAAAAGGACATCTGGGCCCCTGAAAGACACACTTGAGAGACTGTAACCTGAGTATCACAAATGGAAAAGTCAGTACTTGGCGATGCACCGAGACCCATGGAGAGGTCCGTGTCTGTTACCCGTACTTGGACACACTCATGAATAATAAATAGGCCATAGTGCGGCCTATTTAGGAAAAGGCATCTTGACTCGTGTGGATTCTGCACTTTTCAAATCCCCACTTGGTTCAGGGGAGCAAGCTAACTGTCATCAGCCACAGGGGCCCCCGTTCTATCTTCTCTGCCCCAGCTGCCATTAGGCTGATATCTTTGGGGGTCCCTGAGGATTCTGGTTGAGGGGAAGCATTTCCGAGACTGCAGTCTAGAGAAAGGCATTCACGATTCTTTGGGGACTATCTAGTCATTTGCTCCCTCACTCAACCAGTGTGTCGGGAGTGCCTGCTCTGTGCCAGGTCCTGGGTGAGGCTCAACGGACAGAGGTGGTGGGACCCTATTCCTTCTCCTCTTTCTGGTTTAAATTACATTAATTTCTTGATTAGAGAAGGAAGACATTCACTGGAGAAATATCAAAGTCAAGAAAAGCATATAACAGACATTCCAAATATATGTGTCCATCAAAAGAAAATAAAACCACTCTTCCTTCCTACTCCACTGACAGCCCCTCATAACACCTCAGGGTCCAAATGTCCTTCCCATCTTTTCTTAGAAAGCTCTGGTCACACGTGCAACTCTTCCTAGCAATGTATTTTCTTCTAAATGTGTAGCTAATGAACAAATGGCACCAACATGTGCCACAACCAAAAATAATACCGCCATTCACTTTCCGGGAAGAAGTTCTTACCTGTCTGGTCCGAACTTTTGAGTGTCAGCTCATATGTTAAATCTAAAAAGGAAACCATATACATTAATTTTGTATGTTTGCAGTAGGTTTCAAAGTCTTCATCAGCTCTGAAAATGCAGAACCGATTCCCACGATCAGCCCGCAAATCCTGCCCAGACAGAGCAGGGCTTGGCCGCGTTAGCGGCAGGCGTGCAAATGGCAGGAGCCACCAGTGGCCACTGTCCCTCCTAGGGCTCAGAGAGACCCTCCTTCCCTAAGACACACCCCAGCATCTACAGTTAGCAAGCAGCTTGCTCTGTGTGTTACAGTTTGACGATCAGTTCCAAAATGCACTGTAAATCCTAACCATTGCATTTTGATCTTCTAAATCCTCAGTATGCCAAGAAATGACTTTGCAGCTTTACGCTTGGTGTGTGTTGATTAGGCAAAGAGGATGAGGGAAGACACTGGGATGGACTCCAGCGATGGTGGGGTTAACCGCATCAGAGAGAAGAGTGAAATCTCTTCTCGCTCCACTCCTGAGCAAGCCTGGCATGGCTTCTGAGCCGGCTTC